ATCTAACACACCCGATTCAACTCCTCAGCTCATTAGTAGAGACTTTAAGACCTGAAGTGGGTCAAAAAAATGATGCCTGTCAGATCCGTGTCATGTTCAGCAGCGGCAGCTCTTAAATCAGCCAAAATAACCTAATAATCAGGCTGCTGTGATGTTTGTTAACCAAAGAACAAAAGAAAAAGAGGAAATAAATTACGTTTGTAGCTGTAAGGATTCATCTATATTTAATTTAGAATTTAGTGTTTGATGACTTTATTCAATTTCTGTATATTTCCTACTTGCTGAAGGGCACAGGTAAATATGACATTTATTATAATGGGTTTATTTGAAGATTGTTTTAAGTTCACTTCAATTAGAAGTTTTTTTTTTTTTAAAGTCTACTAAATGTTACAATTGATAGCTCTCGATTATACTGTAATGTCGAATGGCTATAGTCATTGGTTAAATATTAGGAAAATGTGATACTCACCTTCAGTCATATAAAAGATGCCATTAAACAAATATAAAAATATACTGTCTTTGTTGTTTCTACATAAATTTGAAGGTTGAAAATGAAATTATTGCAATATAAAAGTATATTTAAAAACTTTAATGTTAGGTGGGATTAATCAAATCAAATCACTATTAATCATGATTTCAGAAAAAAAAATATTTTTATAAATTATTTTATTGATTGACAGCACTAGCAAAAACATAAGCTCCCATGACTTCCTGATCATATCATTTTTTACAGTAAGCAGCCACCTAACCACCAGTAACACCCTAGCAACCTCATAGCAACATGTTAAAAACATTCTGAATATGGCAAAACCCTGTCAACCACCCACGGTACTTAGCATCATGGCAGTCTGTTTTTACATTGGCAAACATAAGTCACATTTTTCAACATAGTTTCTCTCTTCTCATTTTATAGAAGATACATTTTGTGTGTGTTTATGAATTTAATAGGTAATAATAATAGGTAAAGTAAGTACCTTAATATCTATGCCACTAGCATTATCAGATGGAATGGCAAAACTAATAAGTTGTAATATTAAGAAGAAAAATTTCACATCACATTTAATTTAATAAGTCATGGCAATATTAGTTTTAGTGCCTGGAAAACTTGGAGTGAGATGCCCTTCATAGTTCAAATGTGTCAATCCTCTGCATGCAGACAGACTGCAAGTTTATTAAGCATGTGTGAGTGAATGGGTCGTGTTTAAAGGCCGGGTAAATAATGTTGAGTCCGTGGATAAGGGGCGTAACAGGATTAGTTTCAGAGAAGGAGATACAGACACATGAAAGAGAGACTCAGTCGTCTGAGGCGTTGAGATGTCAATTAGAGACTGGCTCAGACGCTCACAAGGGAAGGTGGATTACAGCTGTCCTGCCTTTTCTGCAGAGATAGCTGTGCCTCGGCCATTTGAGGGAGTTTGGATCAGCCTAGTGTTGTTTAGAGAGGTTTTACATCACTAAATATTCCTAGAAAAAAGTGAGCTTCCTCGGGATTTAATATTAACAATAACACACAACGCATGTTAACACTAGTCCAAATTTAATACCATGTGATATTTCAGTTTTTCTTTTGTAATAAATCTGCAAAAATGTCAACAATTCTGTGTTTTCTGTCAATATGGAGTGCTGTGTGTACATTAATGAGGAAAAAAAATTAACTTAAATGATTTTAGCAAATGGCTGCAATATAACAGAGTGAAAAATGTAAGGGGGTCTGAATACTTTCCGTACCCACTGTATATATATATAAGTTTTTTGTTTTATGTGTAATATGGGATTTTCATTTAGGTTGAGTATCAGATATTATATGACAAATCCATACAGATACTCAGGGTAAACCATAGAATTTAATATATACAAATACAAATATTAGGGTTTTTTCCCCATTATTGACACATTTATCATCCTGTATAAAAGGCAAAAAATAAACCCTGTGTATCATTAGGTTTGCCATTAAATATATGATTCTCAACCTAAATAATTTTATATTTATCTCCTACTTTGATGTTTAATATGCATGAAGAGTGGCAATTCAAATGGTTATGAAATAATGATTTGAGTTACAGTTATTTATGTGAGAAGAAAGAGGCCGCAGAGTGATGAAACTAACACAGCACGGGGGAAAAAACGGTCAAATATACTGTTTAGCAGCCATTATATAAAAATACCTGACTGCAGATGCTGCATTTAACCAATCAGAATCAAGTACAGTAGGCATGATATGTAATAATTAAATGCATGTGCTGGTTGGCTTCACACTCAAAGCACAGTCCTATGAGAACACCATTTGATGAAGGAAATTTGAAAAATTAGGACATTTCCACAGAGCAGCATTACTCGCTGTGTTCAAATCCATGTTAAGCAGCGCACCGGCAGGAGTTTGCTGTTGGTGTCTGTCCCTCACGGGTCTGGAGCCCTGCAGTCTGGCCTGGAGCCCGGATACTGAATGTCCACGGATGATATTCCTTGATTTAATTTATCATGCACATGAATCACCAAGGAAACAGTGAGCCGTGTGTAATGGCATACATCATAATCAACTTATTCATGGAAACAGTCTGTTTAAAATGCTAGTGTGTCGTGTTATGTGCATTTATGCTGAATAAGTGTCTTCCTCTAGCCGCACGGATGCCATATAAGAGAACAGGACCTAATTTTCTCACAGATCCATGTAGTGCTATATATCTATATAGCACAGATAAACATAGACGCACACTGAGAATTCATGCAGGATGCTTTGATCACCGTGGTAACGCCTACAGTGGGCATGCTGATGTGAGTCACCTGACAGAGAGAATGCGTTTCCACCAGAAAGATAGAAAGAAAGAGATAAAAAAGAGATGTGTACTTTCATTGACTAAACAGTTGTTTGTTTCTTCTTCAGTATGTTGAAGTATAACACACACACTGTTTCTACATAGATTTCAACTGAGGTGGTTGGAATGTATAGGCGAGACCGGGGCTAGTTGTCACACAGAATGGCACCTTTTTTGGGGGGATGAAAATATTCTTTAGGTTTTTTTGTAGATTGTATGTGTCTGTACAGAAATTGATTTTCAAAAAGAAACCTGAGAAATATTCACTGGAGCAAAAAGTGTGACAACTAGAGTTTGAACGAATTTTATCAGTCCATCAGTTCACACTTTATACTTGACAGTCAAAGATATTCAGCTAATTACCATTTCCATGCAGATTTTAGAAACTGAGATGTATACATCTATGCAGCGTTTGAATCAGTGCATAATTAGAGCTTAATGTTTCTTTTGAACTGCTGTTCAAGGTCTGTGTGAACTATTTCTGAACTGTACATGAGGCCGTCTTTCCAATTAGGTGATTTATAAGAGATGTGATTTGTGAAAGTCCAGCCTAAAGATTTTGCATTTGCATGTTCAAATGTGAAAGGAATAGTAAAAGTGTAGTTTGCTCACAGAGAACTGAATATTACTGCAAACCTCAATAAAAGTAGAGCACAAGAGGTATAGTAGCTATAAATGAATGTGTGTATTTGAGAGAGAGAATGCCGTGGCAGAGAAAGCAAGCAGCACAGTTCATTTCTTTGAGTGGTGCTTCTGTTGTGCTGCTGTGTATAGTTGCTGTGATGTGAATGTGAGGAGTTTATGAAATGGATTGATATGGTCGTCCTCTCACTGATACACAAGTATGATGGGATCACATTGTCTCTAGACATGGCGCGTGCTGTGAGTGTCAGAACATATCCAATAACACAGAAGAGTCTGATTCTCTGCAGGTTGTGTAGGTGAGCAGAATCACAAGGATTTATGTTGCATTTTGACCCTTATACTTGATATCATTTATGCAGTCTAAGAAAAAAAAGACACAGAAGCTGTTACTATGGCAGTACCATTTCAAAAGGTACCAATATGAACACTTTAGATAATAATATGCATCATGTAGGGGTCAATAAGGTACAAAATTATACCTTTTGAAAGTGTTCTTCCCCAGTGACAGCTTTTTGTGGAACAAAATCTTTAAGGCTCACAGAGCAATTTTAAATAAATAAATAGTAAATCTAATAATAAAAAAAGCAGTTTACTCCTAAGTACAATAAAAAAAAAATCAGCTTTCTGGAAAATCTGCTTTCTGTTGCTGCATTTGTTTGATTCGGTTCAACTTGAGAAACTAAACCCTTAAACTAAAATCATTAAAAAAATGTTTCTTAAAATAAATGTTAACTGAAAAAAATTAATAAAAACTACATTTTATGGATTTGGGGAAGATAGACCGACAGACAGACAGACAGACAGATAGATAGATAGATAGATAGATAGATAGATAGATAGATAGATAGATAGATAGATAGATAGATAGATAGATAGATAGATAGATAGATAGATAGATA